AAATTAAAAGAAACTAATGGGTTTGAAAGTCCTGTCTTTGAAGTTTTCGTCAAATCAGCACATATCACTATTGGAGTGTTTAAAAAAAATTATATCTAGAAACTATGACAGACGATTGATAAATACATTTAATAGGCCAGGGTATGGAGAAATTAAAAGAAACTAATGGGTTTGAAAGTCCTGTCTTTGAAGTTTTCGTCAAATCAGCACATATCACTATTGGAGTGTTTAAAAAAAAAAATTACATCTAGAAACTATGACAGACGATTGATAAATACATTTAATAGGCCAGGGTATGGAGAAATTAAAAGAAACTAATGGGTTTGAAAGTCCTGTCTTTGAAGTTTTCGTCAAATCAGCACATATCACTATTGGAGTGTTTAAAAAAAATTACATCTAGAAACTATGACAGACGATTGATAAATACATTTAATAGGAAGCATTGAAATTTAAAACTTGCATCCTGGTGTTTACTAAACATTATGATTCATCTCCTTCAAGTCTGCACACTTCAACAACTCTCCAATTATGTATATACTAGTGTTTAGATTCTAACCGTAAAATTAACTGTTAGGGATGTCAACTTCGAAACTTACTATTAAATCTAAAAGATTACAAACTAACCACGGTAAGTCGACACCACTTGGACAGCTCTCCACTTCGTACACTGGTTTCAGTTGACTAAAGCGCCAGCGATTCAGTAACCTCAACTGCCTCAAAGTGCGAACCGATAACTTCCAAGAAAGTTTCTGTCTCAGTGGATCAGGAAGACAGCACTTTTGATTGTAGACTGAAAGCACTCTCGTAACAACTGCTTGTGCAGATTTCAGCTCTTGGCGCTTTATCTGAAATTCAGTTTATACAAGTTGCTTAATAAGCAACTGATTTGAAATAATTACACTTCTTTCAACAATTTTGGAAGTCAGCGTAACAAAATACTTCAACATACTGCACTAGTGTAAACCAAACTGTCAGAGGGGACTGAAACTTCATAATTAAATTCAAGTTATTAACTACCAGTTGACATCATATGATGCAAGCATTTTGTGAGCATGGCTGATTAACATGAGTCGCAAATGATGGGTTAATTAAATAATCGAGAATATCGTGTAGAACATAGTAAAATTTAAATGCAACGTAAAACCTTTAAAATATATATTAAAACCATCATTCAAACTGAAGTTAAAAAATTGGTAATTATCCAGAATTACACCACCCCATTCTAGTGAAATATGACAAACTGTATATTTAATAATATGTGTCAAAGCAAAAAACTACATGTTATAATAATGACAACCTGTATGTAGATATTAAAAAGTTTTAATTACATGTGTAATTAAGTGATACACAGCTGCAAAAGGTGGGCATTGCAATACAATTTCTAATTTATTAGTGACACTGTTCATCTTAAACTATCTTTAACTCTACGACACATTTGACGAAATTCCAACAACCACGCTTATTTCGTGCAGAAACAATACACAGAAGATACAATTTATTTCAGTCTGTTTTCATTTGTAACAAGAAATACCTTTGTTTACTCTACTCCGTAGTAAATAACAGTTTATTAAGAAAAATACTTGTCATGTGCAGTGATAAACCCATTAAGCAAGCCTAACAGATACTAGATTTAAGATCTGAAACCATTAAGGTAGTGGTAACATAAACTGGTTTAACGTCTAGCATATTTTACGCACAGCACAACGAACATTCCAAATTATATATATCAAACCTTTAAAACCCAATTTCTTATGAGGTAACATCTGTGTAACATATTCTATGTTTATTACTGAATTAGGGTTTCATTATAATGGTTGTCTAACTGTCTGGGACAAGTAGGTATTAGATCAGGGCAAATGGATGTTTAAAGTAATCGTCCAACTCAGAAAAGCTACTTCCTGGAGAATAAATAAGGAATTTGATGTGATAGTGAAATAATAAATAACTTAATAATAAAGCTACTGTAAAGTAGCAGTGCACAATATATATTACAATACACATATTAATTGGTGAATATACGCTCGACTACCGAGTGAGCTGTTGACACGAAACACAATTCAGTTACGTAGATTGTACGTAATGTACAAATAATTTATAATCATTTTAGGCAATAATGTCTTGCTATAAAACTCGGGTTTTGTGTAGAAACTTTAATGACATTATAAAGAGATATTAAAAATATGGTAAATTTGACTTTAATTTTTTTTATTCTTATAAATACATTTGCAACTACCGTACAGCAACACAGTACTTCAAGTTTGGTTTCCAAGATAATACTTTATTACTTTTGTTTGGAGTTACACTAAAATTAGTTCAGACAGATGGTGACGAGGAAAAAATAAAAGGTAGAGACCACATAAAACATAATCTCAACTAGTTTTATATTTATTTACTGTAAAATATTTGTTTTTCTCCAATAAATTAGTGAAATTCAAATAATTATATTTTTGATATTGTTATATTTCTTCTTTGTTTAATTCAGTTTTCACCAGTCAAATAAACTTAATAATATTTTGATACATTATATAATCTCTCTCAATTTATTAAGTACTTACTATTGTAAATACTAGCAAGTTACATAATAATTTGGATACATCTAAGTCAGGACAAGTAAATATAAAATGTACTTGCCCCTATGGGCTAGCAAGCTCAAAAGATAATGTTAAGTTGTGAATGACATACAACCATATATATATGAATAAATCTAAACAAGTCAGAATGTACAAACTTAATATTTCAAAGATTATGTAAGAACACTTTAATTGTGAATGTTTTGTGCAATGAAGCATACCTTGCAATAAAACTGGAGGTCTGCTATACAAGCTTTCCAATTCCAGCAGTTATCTTCTTGAGTTTGTATCTCCTTGCTCAGTATAGCTAGAGCTAAAACACTCCCCTGGGTCGGTGAGAAAGAGATGTTTTAATAATGTTAGTTTCTCAATAAACACATATTTTATGGGAACTAGTGAAAGTACCTGGCTTTGCTCGGGTTATTAGGTTGACATATTCTAGATGATTATGTCAGTGTGTGTATTCTGAACCTATTTTAGCATGGAAGAACAGTCAAAAATATTTTAAACATCTTTATTTCTGACAAACATGGATAAGGTAGGTAATAATACCCACATGCACACCCCCAGGGTCCACTTAGTATGGGTGCAAATTTCAGATTTCTAGGTTCTTTTCTCTTGGAGTTACGGTTGTTACAGACACTCTTTTATTATTATAGATGAGTATAATACTAAACACTTTACACAAGTTAAGTCTATCACAATTCACACTTGGCTAATTATCATAATCCTTTCAAACACAGTTTTACACTTTACTTATCATAAAGAGGTGTTAATGTTTGTCCCAAGTTTTGTGATAGTACAATATTCATACTTAACTTATACCTAATATTCAACATTAGATTGTACCATTGTAGCACTAAATGAATACAAAGTTTAGTATCCTGTATTTAGCAGGGTGTATAAATTTCGTATTTACAATATATACACACACGCTCCATCAAGTAACATGTCAAAAATTGGTTTCAAAGTAAATATTTCAAATCCAAATTATTACTTGAATGTAGTCTAAACCAGTGTTCCCTCTCAGCTTCACAGCCACACAACAACCAATCAAGTAGTGTGTACTCTGTTATTTCAGCTGCACACACCCTTGGTAACAGTGAGGAGTCTCATCACATTGACAGCCTTAATGACCCTGGCAGTCAATAAGCCTAAAACCCAAATAACCAACTGGAAGCATTGCAAAGTGGCCTAACAATCCATTAGGGTCAATGGTCTAAAAATACCCCTCACCCCTAAAAACAAAAACTGGTAGGGCACATCCTCACATTGCCTTTATACTGGTGCACATAAAAAAAATTCATTCTGCACATTGATTGAAAAAATTAAGAGGGAACATTGGTCGAAACCCTTACAAAAATTTAAATATTCTTTGAACAATGTTTGTGAATTCATATATTGATCATAATTTGAATTTAATACCATTAGTACTTAAGATAAATAAATACAAAACCTATTTCAATATCAGTACACGGTCAAAGACTGAAAATAAGAACATAATTTCCAAGCATGGTGCATATTATGGTAGGATTGTTTCTATTATTCATCTTTAGGATATTAAGTTTAAATACTAACATTTAAAAACATCAGTGTTTTAACTTACAAGAAAACACTTTTCTAAAAAGTAGGTAAATGTAGGGATGGCTAATATCAATCCTTCAAAAACAATGCAAACAGTGTAGTAGAATGTTCTAACTACAATGAGGTTCCAACTGTAATATTTATTGTTTATTTATTATTGGCTGATAATTTCTGTTTCACCCTGTATTTAATCTTTTTTAAAGGAACACCAAATTCCTGTAAGAAAGTTAACTTTACAAGGGGTAATGATAACATCGTTCACACTAGAATTATGATATTTTATTAATGACTACTAGTTAATAATACTTATAACATTTGATACTCCATTTGAAACCTAAGTGAAATTGGTTGACACCATTGGTTTGGTTTTGGAGTTATCATGCAATAAAAAAGAACAAGAACTTCAAACTTTTTGCTACTATATTTGCATACATTCCCACAACTTGTGACACAGTCATTACTTAGATATTGTTATAAAATGAAACACTGTTATGGTATTGTAAAGTTCTGATGACTATTGAGATGTTTAAAACACCACTTTGGTGAACAATCCGAGCCACCCCTACATAGGCAGTGCTACCGCCAGTCTGATAAATACTAGTTTTGCAGTATCGTTATTCCCATCTTGTATTACATATTTAACTGCCTTGTATAAGTACAATATACATAATGGTGCTCCGTGGTATGTCAGTACTGTATAAAGTACCCCCAGCTAAAGTTAAATCCATCCAATGCCAAGATGACACATAGCAGCAAGGGCTAAACTCCAGTTTCAATGGCACACGAGGATGAGAATGAATAAATCACCTGAACTTAAGAGACATTCTGTAATTAACATCGAAAGCAATCATTTGGTATGCTTTTACACTAAATGTTTTATAATATACTAATTTCTCTAGTACATTCTGTCAGAAGCAAAAAATGAAAATCTTACTTCTGTGACGCTCTAATAAAATGCAAACAGAAATCTGAATCCAGCTGGAAGTCAAAGCTACAATGTATTTGCATTTCAACAAGCATACACACAGAAGCAAAAGTATATTATTTTCCTATAAATGTTGGTAGAATAGGAGTCATCTTCAGCTGTATTTTTCCAACAGGATGTGACGGCTGGCCTTTGGAATGGGTTGCCTTCAGATGTGGTTAAGGGAGTTTAAAAGAAGGCTTGATAAATAATGAAGGATGGCTTTGAGCATTTTATTTTTAAAGTTTAGTTTAGTGGCTAGATGGTCCAACAGATCCATGCTGTCCTTATACGTGTATGAAGAGGGCTATGAAACTTATAAGAATATTTTTTTTTATATATGACAGTAGGTCAGTATTTTAACTTTGTTACGTTAAACCTTTACTGACATTAGTAACATTACTTCTCTAGGCCTCTACACATAAAGTTTCCCACGAGTTTTCCATTTCCTGTGACCACATTTGCTGATTGTAATTAACTATAACATTCAAGTTAGTTACTCTTGCTGACCACGGTAAAGTACATCAACCACTAGTTTTACTGATCTGTGAAATGTCAGTAAAAGGGAACTATAATAAGCCTAAAACATAATACCCAAGTAATATAAAGACCAAAAACAGACTTACGAAAGATTAACTATCAATAAACAGACTGAAAACTAATGTTTAAAACCACTCTGTGTCATTTTTTATACCAACACAAAATTGGCAACAGTATGCAAGAATAAGAACATATTTAATCCTTTGGCGTTTCTTACCTGAAAGATTATTTAAGCTGTTGAAACGGCATCACCTTACTACTGTGCATACCATAGTTACCACTTACTTGGTCTAGAACTTTCATAGTGCAAAATACCCAGTTAACAACAGAAAAACAGAATACTCTCAGCATTGAAGTACGAGTGCAAATAAGGATCTATTTTATCCTATCTTTTACAAAATAACATATTCAAGATTACCTACAGAATTTTTAAACCAGTTCCATTTTATTTTTAGTGATGTTACAGGCCTTTACCGACACCTTTCCTTTAGCAGGTTTATTTCAAGTAGACTAACTAGTTATATAAGACAGTTTTTAAATGCTCTCTCAAAATTTTAGTAAATTACTTACTTATTATTAAACCATAAATAGGTATGCATGAATCCACCTTATTACCATATTAAAACTGCATTATCAATATAGTGGACAGAAACATGCTTTATTAAGTGCTAATCGGAAGTTAATATTGCTAATTATTTGAAATTTTGACCAGTAACATTTCCATTTCAACTATGAATATGCCGTTGATTTGGAATGGAGTGATACATCTCTAACTCAGGTGTAAGGTGTGCATAAAAATGAGCTTAATCTGGCACTGAAAAAGAATATACATGCACAGGATCTTTAGGGACTTGAAACTTCTATGAAAGTCGTCATGGTTATCTTAGTACGATGAATTATAAAACCATACCTTAAAGCCCATACTCAAGTGACTGCACGCCAGCACTTCAAGCTTCCTTGTACATTCTTCCAGTGAGAAAGTAACGGGACTCTTTATATGGCGTTCTCCTTTCCTGGTTATCTCGGAAGCATAGCAGTATAGCGTATAGAATAACTGCAAGAAGTTCAAGGCTGTTACTGGTTCCTGTTGCCAGCCTAGCTTCTGGATAATGATTCCTTCCATACGCAGCACGTCTCGAGCACTACAAGGATTCTGGCTGATTCTGATTAGTTCTGAAGGAGATATCTTCTTCGTTTTTTCCATCCCGCTCAAAGAGAGATGTAGGCAGCTCAGTGCAATGCAAGATAGGTGTTTAGGTTGAGTCTGAAAGTTTTAATTTAAATGAATAAAAAACAAGTACATTTTTTTAAAGCCTTGTTTATACAACTTAAGAACATGGCTGAAGGTGCAATAAAAATTCTAAATGAATTGGAGTTTCGTCACATTAAAACTTTACGGGAAAGCTCCATTTTTTGTTACCATCAACAGTAGATTGAATAAATAAAACAAAAACATCATCAAAACAAGGTATTAAAACAGCATCAATGTTGCTAAGTTTATACAGTGTCACAATGGATACATACAACAATCCTGTTGAGCAATCCAAATACTAAATAGAAGGTGTTGTGCAGAAGTTTAAAAGAGAGAAACTATAAAGGTCAACCTTCTCAAGCAAATACAACACGTCTTACCATCCACCTTATTCGACAAGATCTTCAGAAAGAATCGTATTCAAGGCAGGGAAGGGGACATAAATTACAACAGGTATATTTTTGAGGGATAAACACTGAACACAGAATCAGAGGCTATTTTGCGAGAAAGTTATATTGGAGAATACTAAAAGGTGCCGTATAATACACAATACAGGCAGTTTCTGGATAAAACAATGCCGAAAACTTTAACAGGTCATTTTTGGGTAAATAGTTATGCAATTCAAAACAAGAGTTGGGTGATTGATTTGATTACATCGATTACTGGTATGTAAAACAATGTCATCAAAAGAATCAACTAATTGAAAGTAGTGTATCTGTTTTCAATTATTCCAACTATCCAAGTCTCAGGTACTTGACTGTAACTGATTAATGATCCCAACAGTTGAAAGGTCAAATTCCTGTTATTGCCCAGCTCTAATCAAAACGCTATTAACAACAATCTCCTGTAAGGTTTACACGTGCAGTCAATGTTTAACTCTGGAGCTTCTTATTACTATATATATATATATTGCAATTTTATTTTTTTACCTTTGACCCCTGTAAAATCAAAAGAAAGGTGAAAATTCCAAATTTTCACTTCGTCTGGTTGAAATATAATAATGGCAAGGCAAAACTCCTAACTTTACACAAAATATTTTGAACTTTGACCCCTGTAAAATTGCCAGAGTAGCACAAGTCCTAAATCTGTCTGCTTTAAACTGTGGGGGTTGTCACAAGTTACCTTTGTGTCAAGTTTTATTTGGATTATTGGAAATATAAAGGAACTGCTAGTAAAATATGTTTTTGTAATCTCTGATCTTTGACCCATAAAAAATAATTGCCTTCCAAGTTTCAAGACAATTGACTCTGAAGTAATGGAATGACACACAACCATAATTTCTAGAAAGAAGACACACAGAAAATACAATTATGAGGAGACATAATTGGATTTGTCTGAAATTAATTTTTATATTTAATATTCATAACTATTGTGTTAAAATTTTAAGACATTTTAAAGTGTTTTAATATAATTTTTAATATGTAATAATTCACTTAATTAAATGGCTTTAAATTTATGTTATATTCATCATCAATGCACAATAGTTCAACGTAACTTGTAGTTAACAAACACTACAACAAAGAACATGAAACATTACATTATTTACCAAACTCCACTAGATCTTTCTTTATTGTATTCACTTGGCCAGAATATGGCAGTAAGATTTTCTTATTCATTTCTTAGTCTCATTTTAAATGCAGTAAATAACTACTTAAAAACAATCACAAAGTATAGATTTTGTAATGGGGGGGGGGGGGGGGCTAGTGATTGATAAGCAACATCCCAGTAAAGACAATTTCATCAACCAAGGATTAAAAGAAGCTTTTTGCAGTCTTTATTGACTACTTTATCAGTGGTAAGTTATAAAAAATTCCCAATGTCAAATAATATTTTTAATAGTTAATAATCAACCCCCCGAAAAAAAAAAGTTGAAAATGGAAATGAAAAATCTCTGTCAAACTATTTCACTGACACAATAATGCTTTGCTTGTCTTAATTCTTCACTATGACAACATTTAAAAACTTACATACTCAATGCTACCGAAAACATCAATCAACACAGAAAAGCTGAATGTAACTATAACTATCCATGTGTCGGTTTTTATCCTGCATATTTTTGCTTTATAGTTATACATTGAAAGCAGACTTAACCATTGAATTCTTGAAACATCATAATAGACAGTATTCAAATATAATTTCCAGATTGTTAACATTTTTTTTAGAATTACATGAATACAAAGTTGAAGATGATTCAAAAACCAATAAGAATTCATCCCAGCATCACCATACGTTACCATTATAAAACACAAGGACAAATTCCTGACACTTTTACTGCCGATCCACTGATTGAAACGGTTTATATTTATTCGTTCATTTAATCACAAGCTGCACAATGAGTTATCAACATCGTGTTTTACTGCCAAGCTGCTAAAAGTGACCATTTTTGGTTGCATATTTACAATTTGGGCACAAACTAAAGATTTATTATCTATGTATGGATGTGTTTAGGATTATTCCTTTCTACGCTTCTATAACCTGAACAAGTTGTGTTGTTTTTTACAGTATCTCATTCTTGTATCATCTGTAATAGAGAGCATATGAAATAATTAATATAAGATTTTATCAACCACAACTCAACCATAGTGAGCTTTTTTGGATACTTTTCCTTGTGAATAATCAGACTTCATTCCCATTGTTTAGGCCTAATATATAATTAAATAAAACAAACTATAAAACAGTATTTCTATTACACATGTCAGCAATGACAAATTTAACAGTAAAACGGATTGATTCACATTTTAGTCCTAAGATAACGGCAGCTTAGTTCAAGTTAAGATTTCGATTCAATATAAACAATATTTTTTGCACTCGTATTTTCAGTCTTAATAGTACTGAAGTTTGGTTTAAAGTAAGCTCCAGTCTTGAAATCTTGATGAGCAAGTATTCTTTAATCCTAAGCATCCTCTCACAATCAACCGAGCAAATGATCAAAACCAGGTTACCGTGAACAAGAATACTACAGTTCAACGTTTACTTTTGTACAAAGGACAGCATGTAGACAATTCTTTACGAGCATTCCTTAATCCATCTTTCAAGCATTCAAGTAGTTGAACCAATATAACCACTTTTACAGCGAGGACATGAATATTTATAGATGACACTAAGACCAAAACCTAATCTAAACCAAACCCTAGAACCATTAACCATGTGGAACTGTATTAATTTACGAAGCTAAGGATTAAATATATTGATTTCAATTAACTAATTCTCCAAATGATTGGAAAATGTCATGCAAAATACAAATATTTTTCAAGTAGCCAATTGTTCTCTCCATCCATACCACTAATGAAAGGATTTCATTTCATATAATATTAAATCTCAATTATTAACTATTTAAACTCGTAATATTTCCAAATTCTGCCAGAAATATTTTCATAATTATTACCATATCTTATACAAGTTCAAATTTCTTAATTTTGTAGATAATAACATGGTTTGGATTAGTTTTCAGCCAGACAGACATAAATGTTATCAGATTATATCACCATCTGACGGGTAAATCGGGATTTTCGGGCCCGACGCCTGGTTTAAGGAGTTAAAGAAATATTAAAAATTCTGAGTTAAATTAACACTTTAATAATAATACAATTTTGCAGGATGAAAACTGAAAACAGCTGTCGAACATCTAGAATTTCTGAAAAAATTTCACATTATCACGTACCAGTATGTGATTCCCATTAACCTGTTCGCTGCCGATTTGCCACCAGCGGTTGAATTTGAGTGAATTGTATTACAGTGTAAAGCTCACAAGAAATTCTACACGCATTTAGAGCAGCTACAGTCAAAGTGTTAAAATACTACATCATCATATTTTCCTAACTTTGGGTAAAACTACGCTTAGATTTTTCCTGTAACACTGAAAAAAAACACTCAAAATAATCCTTATCCAGTTAATTACAAATTAAAAGAATTACACAAATGCTTAAAATAAAACTGCTATCAAGCAGTTTTATATCACATATTGTACCTTTCTATAGCAACTAATTAGGTCCACGAGACAATTTTTACCTTGATTTTTCCAAGAAACATGTCCAACATTTGAAGAGCTGTAATAAACGTCTTTGATGGAAGATCATACAAGACTTTCAGGCACTTAAGAACCTGAGCCATATTGTCTCTCATGACCCCAGTGACCTCCTCTTGGCCCTGAAATAAAGGGATAAGTTCCTTTGTAAGACACAAAATGGCATGAATTAACACACATAGTAACTGGAATCTATATATAAGAATTTTAAAACTGAAAGGTTAGGAGTAAGACTCTGGTTAGATCATGTATAGCACTGTGTTAACTTTGGTATACTTATTATACCAAAAATACAATCAAGATGCGATGGGGGAAAAAAAATCTATGATAAGGATCTTTAAATGTATGTTTACAAAACTTCAAGCTGTGAGAAGAAACTTACTTTTTTCTCGGATTAAAAGATGTACAAAAGAACAAACAGAGACTTTGTTATGATTGTTTGGGCATGAATAACTGGGCTTACAAAGCTTATAAAATATCACAAGTAATTAAAGTAAGCTTTGAAACATACCACGATCTTTGGTTAATAAGGTCTCAGAATAGTTTCCTCATTTGTGAGTAGCTTATTACTTAAAAAAGTTTGGATTATGTTATTATCTGGAGATATATGGATACCCAACATTACAATTGTTGGGTTGAATATTGTTCGTCAAAATTAGATGGATCTTAAGGGACTTTTATGGCGTATGTTTATTGGTATTTCTCTTTTTATTGCACTTCATATTATATAAAACTTTTAAAGAAACGTGTTCATTACAACTCAATAGGCTAGTATGTAATTTTTACTAATATTCATGTTTTTTAGAAATATATATGGGATTTATTAATATGATAGCCATGTTGTTACTTTGTCTTAATTTACTAGTTAGTCCACAAACGTTTATATATATATATATATATATATTCATAATTTTATCATAGTGGTTGTATGTCTGGCAATTGAAACCATTAGAGGAGAGATATTATCAAACATGGCAGCAATTTGGATACTTGTGAACCTTGTTACTGGTCCTGTTACTTAGGGATTTGTAAAAGTAACAGTCAATATCTCTAGTTTAGAGTTCAAAATTCAATAAACCAACCCTCAACAGTAATTTAGTAACTAAACAATTGTTACAATCTTGCCTGTTTGCAATTGAGTTTCAAAAATACAAGGTCCAAAAATATGATTCTGCAAGTGTAATAGTGTAAATATAGACACTGAAATTGCATTACAACTGGTGTAAATACAACCACTGCCTTAATTGGCTACATTTATATTGTATACGATAGTAACTCAATTGTATATATATTGTCATGGTCCGTAAATGTTCAAATATTTGTAACATTTTTAATCTTTTTGCATTTCTGTGCCTCGTTTCAGGTCAACAAAAAGTTATCCAAATAAGTCGTTCTCAACACGTCTGGGGTTTAGCCAATTGGAAAGAAACCTACCAAAATTATAAGCTATAGAAGCTGGCAATACAAAACATCTGTTCAATTCTGCAAATTGGCAAATAAGATTCCAGTCAAGATGTAATAGTTAAAGAGATTTAACATCCTACACGAGTGTACTTGCAGTAGGTTGAAGACTAAATTTATCGTCACAAGTCTTTGCTGTTTTCTTCTATACAACAGATTATACAGAGGTAATCATGAGAGGAAAAGAAAAGAAAGAGAATGGAAAATAAACCTGGCAAAGATTAAGTTTTATAGATTGTCACTGTCAGTCACTATGGTGAAAACTAACATCTTCTACTTGGTAGTTTGTGTGACACTAACAAAACTGGTGGTGATCACCCAGAGTTAGTGGTGGCAAGCACTAGTATATTAATACTTTTACCATTTTAAAAATATAATGTTTAACACCGGGGGAGGGGGGGGCATGGCCTTTTGGTGAGAGCCCCCAAAAATAATAATGGAAAAAAACAGAAGAGTGAAGAGAAGGAGAGAATGATAACATAATAACTCTCACATTTACAAGCATTTTTTCCCATTTTAAGAAAATTATTAGAAACATGTGGGGAAAATATTGTGTTGCTGTTATCACTTGTGAAAGTTATTTTAATGTGAAAGGTGTGTGTGTGAAATTGTAACTTTGCTGAGTTGGGGGGTGGTGGTGGCACTGCTATTTAAAGTTTGGAAAACACTGCCTTAAAATGAATCTGCAGTAGAATTTATGACAAACTTACTGAAAAAAAACACCCAATAGCAACCGAGCTCATTATTTCAAATCATATATAGTGAAGTTGTATTGTAGTGATTAGATGCATTAAAGCAAAATTAAAGAAATGCGTATAAAAACTCGTGATATCGGTGAATGAACGAAAACAAGAAGAGTACATCTCTAGCCTTAGTATAAATATTAATAGTACCCTCAACTATTTTTTTTCCTTTACACAAACGTCATTTTGCTAATGGCGATGTCTTCTCTTGGTCAACAAACCTTTTCCATACGAGGAAGACATGTAAAAGAATGGCAACTGAAAAGATTCTCTTCCTTCAAGACCTTATCCAGCAAATTCCAAGTCTCCTTAATGGTTTTCTCCCAAACTGTACCCACACCATGCACTTCCCTCTCCATCTGGTCCATTCCCACAGATTTTCAGCATTTCAGCCATGCTCTTACACTGATGATTTATACATAGTATCTCTCGTGGCAAAGTATCTCCAGTATTGGCTTGTCATTTAACAGTGTTTAAGGCTATGTATAACAAAGAAAAAGAAAGGAAATTGTACATGTTTATATAGACTCGGCAAATAAAAACAAATAATATAATAATAATAATAATATTAATAATAAAAAAAACATTAATATTTAGCACCAATCTTAAGTTTTAATGATTAAATGTTATAATATTTTAACATATGGTTCTTCAAGGTTGCCCCTGCACGTGCGTCCCCAAGTAAAAATGAAAATCATCCCTAGATATTTTTTTTCCCATGAAATCGTTGATTCTTCTATTAAACTCTACAAAACTGCTAGTCTTTGCTAATTGTCTAAACTGATTTTGTCAACTCATTCCATAAGTTAGTCACCCAGTTAAAAAATTAATTGTCTAAACTGGAGCCACGCCCATCTTTACAGATCACGTGCTCTAGTCCCGTTAACTTCAGAATCCAGAACAAATAAACCAGGGGCCTTATCCTAACGATCCTGAAATAATCTTGTAAACTTGAATAAGACTGTTAACTTCAGAATCCAGAACAAATAAACCAGGGGCCTTATCCTAACGATCCTGAAATAATCTTGTAAACTTCAATAAGACTGTTAACTTCAGAATCCAGAACAAATAAACCAGGGCCTTATCCTAACGATCCTGAAATAATCTTGTAAACTTCAATAAGACTCTCTTGTCCTTCTTTTCTCAAGAACAATAAGTGAAAAAAATCTTAACTCTATTTCATTCTACAGAATTATCTTAATAGCCCCTCCACTGAACACTTTTTTAACAAGCTAATATATTTTCTTAAAAATAAGGTGATCAAAACTGTACACAGTTTTCCAAATGAGACATAACTAGTTACTTGTAAAAAAAAGATTATTGTTTCTTTCAACTTGTAATCAAAGTTAACAAGTGAATGCTAATACTCTGTTAGCATTAATACTCGACAATGTTGACTTGATATACTAACCTACCTATCTGTCAAGACTTCCTTCTTCAATCATGTTGTTGAAATGAGTTCCAAACAACAACCTTACACTAACTATAATTAAATGCTATTTGCCAGCCATCTGTCCAACTTACCAAAGTTATTCTATAATACCTCAACATCCTCAATATAACTAAAAATAACCAAGAGTTTAATGTCATCGAGAAACCTTGCTAATTTACTAATTATATCCTATCACTGTCATTAAAAACAACAGAAAAGCAAAAGACCAGACAATGACCTTCGAGGCATGCCACTGGTAACAAGTTCCAGTTTGACAAAACTCTGTTTATAACAACTTTTTACTTTCATTCACCAAGATATCCCTTGAACACAATTAACTATTTCCAAGTTCCTGCATTGTGGTTTTCTTAACTTATATTCTATGAGGCATCTTAGTGACAGTTTTTTGTAAATCTAAATACATCAAATCCATAAACTTTCATCATTTAGGTAACAAGTAACACATCATAAAAAAAAGCAGATTATTTGGACCATTTTGACTGTTATTTATGACACATTGCACTAAGTTATTTTGCAAAATATTTTTTCCTTTCAGACTCTATACAATTTTTTTCCCAGTACAGAAGTAAGAATATCTGATCTGTAATACCCACAAGATTCAATTTTCAACTAGTTCTAATATTTTCGATAGTATGTTGAGGGTTAAGATTATAACGTACATAAATTATAAAATGTAAGGATAAAATGGACCTACTGGTCCATTTTGGCTGTTCCATTTAAAAACTAAACTTACCCAGTTGTTTGTCTTCTGTAACTTTATTTATATGCACTTTACTTCTAAATTCCATTGTGTAGCTTAATGATTTACATAATTTACAAAGCGTTCACTCAGTAAGTTATAAATATAAATATAAGGCATAACACATATTTTTAGTTCCTTTTTTATGTTTACCACTTTTCTTTAAAGTTTAATTCCTACACTTAATTTTTAGTTGTTGTGTAAACTTAAAAATAAAATGGACGTTTGAATTTCTTGTTCTCCGGTTGTTTCTGGTCAGCAATATATTTACATTTTTAGGCCCTAATATGCACCATTACTGCATTAGCGCTGAAAGTAGAAAGTAACACAAATGTCAAAACTTCAGCTTCGGGAAGTACAACTACAAATACACACCCTATTTAACTCAATATAAATTTGTTTATGCCGTAATGAAAAATAAAGCTATAAAATAAAAACAACACTAACTTCAATAATAAGATTCAACTTAAACTTTAAAGTATTGGTAATTACAAATAACATTTAATAACACTGTCAAATGGACGTTTTACTTACATTATCTTCTCAGTTCCACGAACTCCACCTATCTTTCACGAAATTTAATCATTCAAAACAATCGCACAGAGAACGGTTGTTGAGTAATAACGTAAAATCTTACGCTTGAACAAATAACGCGTAACCAATAGCAGTAACGCATGAAAACGGCATAGTTATTATAAACACGTATTATTAAAATGTATAAAGAACATTATTTTTTTCTACAACAAACATTATGTAAACACAATTTTCAAAGTCAAGTTTCCTGATGTTACATAGTTTACCAAACAGTTTACAAATCAGCAGGAAATAGTATTCATACCCCTGAAGAAGTTGTACTACGATCAGTTAATACTATTGCAGTTTTTATATTTTTTATGATTGTTTTGTAAATGGATGAAACAACCAGAGTAAATTTTAATTTTTTTTACACATGAAGTTATAAAAGTATCAATCAATTGTTATGATTTTCCTAATTTACACAAAAACTTTTGACATATTGTACAAATTTGGTAAAATTTTACAACTAGTAAAAATTGTTTTTATTTTCGATGTTTCACTTTTCTAACCTCAGTAGCAAAATGAACTATTTATATTAGGCCTCATTTGTACAGAAAAAACTACTTACCTGTAACTTATACATATCATATTTTCCTTTCCTTCAAGTGACATTATAATTTAAATCATAAACCATGTAAAATTTAGTTAATAATACTTCTAGCCTACAGTTATTAGTAATACTAACGTTAGTAATTTGGATGATGACACATGCACATGAATGTCGGGTTTTATCACACTTTAATGTGTAGTTCTGTTTCATTTAGTGGCGTAAAATAAAATCTCGAATTGTTATTTCTCAATTTCAGCATCACACTCTTGTGTGTTCAGTAGGAACCGCGAAATATTATATAATAGATTTTTGTTTGTTTGTTGTTAAACGCAAAGCTACATAATTGGATCATATGTGCCTTGTTCATCGCGAGCATCAAAACCCGATTTTTAGCGTTATAAGAGATGATCAAACTTTCCTCGAAGCCATCGGGGTCATATAGGTTAGATGATAAATGCTCCCTAATTCTTTGTTGCAAGCATTCATGATTCTATTTTCGGCAACAAATGAGACAGAACTCCGCATGAAAGAGACAATAGCCATCAGTACAATAACATAAGCCATAAGTGTGCATGAATCATCATCCAACTAATTAATAAGAATATGAGAAATTAGGTTTTCTCAACTGTTGCTGTAATAAATCATAATGTTACTATTACCTCTCGCATAACAAATATTTATATGAACTCACAATAAACTTTTTAAAGCTCCTTTTATGAAATATTCATCAGTTAACGTTTATTTATATATTTTAGTATGAATGAAGTAATATCCGACTTTTTAAATGTATTATTCTTGCTATTGGAGTATATGGTTCACCCCAATAAACTTATTTCATATACAGCCACAAGTGGAACATAATCCTTTAGCAAAGGTTTGTGGGGAAATGATTTAAGTAAAGCTAAATGCACTCAGATACACGTGCACCAATATAATTATTATAGAGTAGCTAACTTTTAAATTAATTGATCTAATTTGTAGAATCGGCGTGAAATAATAATAAAAAGTTTAAACTATCTCAAGCGCAGGAATTTTGGTTTTTGCTTAAAATATTCGTTTAAAAAACAAACATATTAGTCGCATAGTATAAGAGTAATACGACAGTGACATAGTTGCTGCGAATGTTACAAATCAAAGAAACACTGAGTGCTCTATCTTCAGTACATAATAATTATGACACTGCTATCAACATTGAAACTATATGTTAGTTATTTATGGAAAAACACCCCAGACGAACGGAGCATGCTAGCATGTATTTCAGTAGTGCATACATGTACGTATATGATAGCCAATGATTGAAATGGCTTATACACTATTATTATACAGAGTTGTTTAAATCAGTAATATAATTTAACAATTAATAACTACTCAGCATGTATATAGTACAGTACTTTACTGTAATAAAATATACATGTTTATGTTAATTTAAGCCTAGATCCCCATGCAGTGTTACAACAGAATGATGATTTGTTGACTTTTCATTGGATGCTTGTGGATTTTATGTGAACATGCGTGAAATTGTTTAAGCCATATTTCATGTAAAATTGCATCCAGATTTAAACTCATAGCACCTATTTTTTTACAA